TCACTGTGACTTTATATTAAGTCTTGAAGTTAAGTAGTGTTAGTCTTTTCTTTTATTTTTCTTCAATGTTGTGTTGTGTTTTGGGCCTTTTTTGCCTTGCCATGCAAACTATAGAAAATTTTGTTGATATCCATGAAATAATGTGCTGGGCTTATGATTTGAATTGCATTGATCAAGTTGAAAAGAACTGACATCCTAACTATGTTGAGTCTTCCTATCCACAAGCTAGCATTTCCCCATTTATTTATTTATTCTGATTTCATCAGAGTTTTGTAGTTTCTTTCATATAAATCTTATAGATATTTTGTTAGATTTATGCCCAAGTATTTCTTATTTTAATTATCAATTTTAATGGCTGTAAAAATAGTTAAAAACTTTAATCAGTATACAAAATTTACCACCATCAGTCTTTTATGGTCAGGCCACCTGTTTTCCATCTACGGCTTGACAAAGTGCTGTGACTCCTGGGTTCAGAAGTGGAAGTTTTTTGATAAGGAGTAGCAGCTACTCCTGCTGACCATGACACATTACAGTCTCTCCCACTGCTATTCCTTTATTAAGAACTGGACCATGTCAGTTCTTTGCTGCTATGGTTAATATTTTCTTCCCTCAGGTGGACCCATCTTGCCTTTACTCAGATGTCTCTGGTCATTTGTAGGGACAGGTTGTGATTTGGGAATTTTTGTAGGGGAGTTTTATTAGGCTTTTGTTTACTAGGCCTAGAAATACTGTCATCCTACAGATCCAATGTTGTACTCCCCATGTGTTACATCACTCTGAACTCTTCTTGGTCCCCATTGCTCATTCCCTCCTTGATATGACTTGTTCTCTGCTACTTCAGGCTCCCATCATCCTATTTAAGCCAGGGAGCTCCTTTCAGTTGCATTATTCATAGACACTGTGGAACTTTACAAAGGCGGCAGAGCTCTTTCACCAATGGTTCTCTGAAAGACTTGATGGAGATGCCCTTGGGAGAAATGGTTACAAGAGAGGTGAGCTGGCTACATGTGAAAATCTATATTTCCTTCTCCTTGATTCTTTGGATTCTTTGCTGTAGAATACCATGGGATTTCCTCCTTGTTTTTCTTTAGCTGAGTCTAGAGGTCAATTAATTTTAGATAATATGTTGAAACCAGAGTTACTGAAAAATATGCTCAAATTGACAAATTTAGATTTAGTCACACATATACTTTTTTTCTTTTTAAATATTTATTTTTAGAGAGAGGAAGAGATGGAGAGAAACATCAGATTATTGCACGTCTCAGCTGGGTACCTGGCCTGCAGCCCAGGCATGTGCCCTGACTGGGAATTGAACCAGCAGCCTTTCATTTTGCAGGCCAGCACTCAGTCTACTGAGCCACACCAGCCAGGGCTATTCATACATATACTCTTCAATTTAAGTTAGCAGAGCCTTGTAATTCTTTCTCCCTCTGGGGCTGACTTTGTAACTGGCCTCTCAGGTGTGCCTGGATCTAATTCAAGTATTATGAGTTAAGAGAGTAGTCAGAGGTGGTGAGCGAGAAATGGGGAGATTAGCTTCCTTTCAGAGGTAACTGCTTCAGGTGAGGTCAGAATGAGGTCTTCAATCAAGGCAGAAACATTCTCAGGATATAAAAGAACAGGTTTTGCTTGTGCTACCAAGAGGGACTTGGGGGCTTGAGTGCCTAGGAAGTATCCGAATCCTATTTTATGGTCCCATTTTTTTTTTTTAGAGGGAGGGGAAATGAGGGAGAAAAAGAGGGAGAGAAACATTGATGTGAGAATATGTTGCCTCTCGTACACTCTCAACTGGGGACCTAACCCACAGCTTAGCCATGTGCCTTGACTGGGAATCAAACCTGAAACCTTTTGGTTTATAGGATGATGCTCCAACCAATTGAGCCACACTGGCCAGGGCTAGGGTCCCATTTTTATTCCCAGATTCTTACTCTTTCCTGAGGATAACTCTCTACTCATGAAGTCTGGTGAGGCTGATAATTTAATTGATTTTGTAATTTGGCAACTTGTTGACAAAATTTCAAGTAATTTTCAGTTATTTTAGCCTTGTGGTTCATTTAATAGAAATTGTTTTAGCTCTGTTGTAGAAATAATGCAGATTTTTTAAATTTAAAAATGAAAAAAATTTCAGTTACAGTTGACATTTAATATTATATTAGTTTCAGGTGTTTAGCATAGTGGTTAGATAGTTTATATGACTTAGGAGTTAGTCACCCCAATAATTCTAAAACCCACCCAGCACCATACATAATTACGATATTATTGACTATATCACTTAAGGTGTACTTTATATTCCCTTGACTATTTTGTAACTGCCATTCTGTACTTCTTAATTCCTTCATCTTTTTCACCGAGTGCCGTAATGCACCCCTGTCAGTTCTCTGTACCTGTGAATTTGTTTCTGTTTTGTTTAATCATTTATTTTGTTTTTTAGATTCCACATATAAGTGAAATCATATGGTAAAGAATACAGATTTTTAAGTCTTGAGCTGAGAATTTAGAAATCAGAGTGTTTCATTGCTTTTCTTTAAGCGGTTCAATTTTAAACTCATCTCTTGAGTTCCTCTTGATATGTATGTGAATCTGTATAGAGATAGAGTATAGATACAGACATAGATACAGATACAGAGGCAGATATAGATACAGATATAGATATAGATACAGATACAGATACAGATATAGATGCGGATATACAGATATAGATATAGATACAGATGCAGATATAGAGGCAGATATAGATACAGAGGCAGATACAGGTATAGATACAGGTACAGATATAGATACAGATACAGATATAGATATAGATATAGATACAGATATAGACATAGATATAAATATAGATACAGACATAGATATATAGATATATATTTGGCCCTGGCCACTTGGTTTCCCAAAGCCTTGTTTTCAATGGGTACTTGTCTTCAATCCAGGTGACAGTATGCGGTTATCTACCTGGCTGGTTTTTTCATGTATGCCAAGGGCTTTCAAGGCCCGTATCTTTATATTAGCTGAATTTCAGCCTTCTTTCCAAACCAGGTCAGATAACCAATCCCAGATACTTCTCATTTCCTAACCATGGGTGACCTTTGTTCTTTTTCCTCCTGTTCTTGTTCATCTCAATCTGTTTCCTTCGAAGTTGAGATAATGATTTTAGACTGTTGAGCATGACTCTTTTGGAGCCAAAGGCAATTATAATAAGGATGGGTTAGCTATCCTTCAAAGAAAGGTATGGATTGTGTTGGGTGCAGACTTTTCCTCATCTCCAGGCTATCTTAGATCTGCTCTTTGGGTTGGGAGACTGGACTTGGACGATCTTATCACTGCCACCTTTTCTGTGCATGTGGAGATTTACAGATTATAGGCCGTAACCTGGCCCCCTCCACTGATGTTGCCGTATCCCCAGCTTCTTGGCCACCTGTGAGACAGGCAAAACAAACACGAACGTGTTCGTCTTTGAAGTTAAGAACAGAAATGAAAAGACTTCCCCAGGGTCCCCAGGGTTGGCTGGTAGCTGGGTCAAGAATCATATCCACATCTTCCCAGACCCTGTCAGGAACTGCAGTGATACTCACAGGCCCAGTGCCAGAGTACCCATGGATGCTCACATACTCTTATCTAACAGTTTGAAAGCAACAATCAATCTGTACTAAAATATACTCTACACTTCTGTCTTCACCAGTTGTCACATTTGGAGTCTGCAGAAGCAGATCCCGAGGCTGAGTTTGGCCTGCAGGGTATTCATTAGTGATCAGCACAGAGCAGAAGCAGGAGCAGACAGGGGGAGAAGTCCATCTGCAATGCAGGCTCCCTGAAACCCAGCCGACCCCACAGGGCGGCCTGGAGCCTGTGTGGCCCATGGGACCACACCAAGGTTAGGTGAAAAGGATGGGCCGTGATTGCTGCAGCCCCAGGACAGGGTGAGCCTTTGGATGAGGGGTTCTATGTAGTTGCAGCAAGAGCTGACAGCTGAGCAACAAGTCCGTTCTCTAACTCCTTAATAACGACTCAGGAAGGGGCAGCAGGACCAGGGGCCCTCCTTCTCTTCCCACTTCTGGATGCCTGGTCTCCTCATCCAACCTCCATCCCCTTGCCCCACAGCTGCTCTTGGGCCCATGGGCACAGCACCGGGGTGCTTGAACCACCCTGGGTAAGGCAGAGAGGCAGGAGACCCCTAACACCCTGGAGGCCAAGAGGAATTCCAGGGTCCTCAGTACCCAGAGGCGGGCCTAAAAGGGGATGGGGGATGTCTACATTTCTGGGCAACCGGGGATGGGGAGCAAGGTCCCTAAAGGGGGTGGGGCAGGGTCGGCCACCTCGCTCAGGTCTAAAGTACTGCTCTCAGAGATCATACTGAAATGGTGGGAGACAGCAACCTGAGAATTTGATGGAGGTTTTGAATTTTTCAGAGAAGGAGATTTACTCCAGTTAATATTAAATAAAATACAGGCTTAAAATATCCTCATGAGTACCAGAGACTGAAATTATTAGCGGCATTCCTGGTGTAGCTTTGCCAGCGTTTCGTGTCACTCGCTGGGATTCGTCCTTGGTCCAACAGTCCTCTCCCGTGCTGGAATCCTCCCTGCAGTTGTAGGTTAGGGTCACCCGCCATCCCCTGACTGTAGCCAGATCCCTGGGGCCAAGCAGAGCTGTCGGGCGCACTGGGGAGCCGGGGCAGGGACAGCGCTACCCGGAGCTAGAGCGATCGCGGTGGGAGCAGGAGGCGGTGCCCGGGCCCAGCCTGACGCAGCGGCAAGAGCAGGCCACTGCTGGGCGACCAGCTCCCAGTACCAGCAGTCTCTCCGCCTTCTCCCGAGGCACCGCGCGGGAGTGACTGCATCTCACACCTGCCTGGGGATTACGGGCTAGGGGCACCCTTTCCAAGGGAGCCCTGGCGGAGGGAGTCACAGGAGCGCGCACACTGGGCGGAGGCGGGGAAAGGAGCTGGGCGAGGCGCTGGAGAGGGAGCTGAGAGGGAGGAGGAAGGAGGAGGAAGAGGGAGGGCGGGGACCCGCCCGTTACGCTCCAGCAGCCCGGCAAGTGTGGCTGCAGGCGCCTGTCGCCACTGCTGTCCCGGAGCTGAGTCGCACCCAGGTGTCCAGGACGGTGCGTGCTCCAGTGTGTGTTTCCCTGAGGGCGAGCGCCGAGCCGGCCCCGAGCCTCCAGCTCGCTCCTCCTGGCTGCGGTGCATGTTCGCCTCCTGCCACTGTGTGCCGAGAGGCAGGAGGACCATGAAAATGATCCACTTTCGGAGCTCCAGCATCAAATCGCTCAGCCAAGAAATGAAATGCACCATCCGACTGTTGGACGACTCGGAGATCTCCTGCCACATCCAGGTGCGGGCGGCTCGGGGCGAGGGAAGTGGGGTTCGCCAGGCTGTGGGGAGCCCTCTGCGGGTGGGCGTGCACGGGCAGCTGTGTGGAACCTACCCCAGGGCCTTGCTAGAAAGCCAGATTTCGGTTCCTCCGCCTCCTGAGGCTGGGAGCTCTACCCAGAGATGGGGGCACTGTTCCCAGCAGGCGCCAGGAGAATCTTATCCGAGCCCAAGCTCCTTTAGGCATGCACGCTTGGCGCTAGGCTGGCCGTGTCCAGGCGGGGAGCAGCGGACAGTTTTCTCCTGGGGAGAAAAAACCCTCTGTCCCCTATCCCACCAGGAAATGGGAGTTCCGAGAACGTAGAGGGGCACCTTCACATCGCCCACTCTTCCTTTCTCCTTTCCTCCACGTGGAGAAGGCATGCACTCCTTTTTCTTTTCTGCACTCGGGCTCCTAAGGTGCCATCAGACCCGACGACCGGCTCCCTGCTAGGTCCCTTCGCCTGGCCTTTACTTCTTCACGTCGTGGTGGGGGCAGGAGGGGAGGAGGCTGAGAAGTTTCCTGGGAGGGAGAGAGGTTGGGCAGCCCCGGGCTCCAGCCTCGAGGGATGAGGTGCGCGTTGCGTGGAACTGGAGCTATCTCAAAAGGAATTGTGAGAAATCTGGGTGTTTCAGAGAAAGAAAAAGGGCTGTGAGGCCGGCAGAGTTGTTCAGGGCTCAGGGAATCTCAGCAGCAGCCGAGTCCCAGGGAAAAAATCGCCTGTTGGAGTATTGGTGGACATTTCATTTGCTCTTGCCCAAGCTGGAGAAGACGAAAGTTGTTTAGGCAAAGGCAGCTTTTCCGGCAGCCCCATCCTTGGGTAGTTAGTAACTGCCTCTGGGCTTGCAGGAGAGCTATTATGAGCTGCAAGTGTGTGTTATCAGTGCATGTATATGTAGGCAGGTGTGTGCCCTCTCCCACGACCCGCGGGGAGCGCACAAATTGGAAAGGTCCAGTTTTGGCTCACCACTTTTGACGCCTTTGACTTTTGAATCTATTTACCCGGGATTTTCTTTTCTTACTTACCCCAGTCTTCAATGAAGCTCCAGGACTGAGCTTCAGATACAGGGCACTCTACGCAGTTCTGGTGAGAGGTGAATGGGGGCAGCATCTCCCAACGACAGGAATGCTTCTGGGCTGGGTTAACCAAGAATGAATAAATGAATGAATGAAAGGTCTTTCCCATTTATTTTTTCTGCTGGAAGCTTGTGACATGAGGGCAGCTGGAGAGTTTCAAGGCAGGAATGTGGTGCCCCATGATCTCCCAGGAAAGTAGGCTGCTCTTGAATTTTCTAGAGGATCTTGAATTTCATTCCGAGCTAAGTATTGCTGCTTAAACTTACTAATAAAAAGATGAGCAGGATAGGCAGTTTTTCTGCTGCCACAGAGTTGGTCGCACAGGAATGTTTGGCATGTACTGTCTTGTGATCGATCCCAAGGCAGTTTGTTGGTGCACTTTGCTTTACATCATGAAGTGGATGTACAAGTCTTTTAATCCATATTGAATATGCAGCTAATGGAGGGGCGGGTAGCGGGGGGTGGAGCCGTTGAGTCCTCCTTTGCGCTGTCCTGTGCCCACTTGGATTTGATGCCACTGTTTTTGTCTGGTTCCAGACTAAGTCTTCCTTAGAATAGATAAGTATTCCTCAAAGACATGCATTTGTAGTCTGGCGTTCTAGGACATAAAGCTGTAGCCAATCTAATGACAGTTGGAAAGTTAGCCTGTGTATGGCCCAGCTGATGCCAATGTGGTTAAAATGATATGATCCAAAAATGCTGATTTTGGCATTGCTTAAAAAAGTCAAATGTTTAATTTTTGTGGCACATCTTTTTCTGCCCCTTCTGCCCCCAAATGGTGATTATTATTTAACCAGTTAAAATGAATTAAATTTTTTATTTTGCTAATCATGAAACTTCTTAGGGCATTCCAAACCCAGGAGTTAAAATTGTACTTCTAGGTATGAGGTCACACATATGCAGAAAAACTCTTGCCATTTGTTTAGAGGGAGAACAAAATGCTTTATTTATTTATTTTTAAAAGAATTTTTCAGAATCACCAGTATATGACCTGGGGAAGCCATCATCCCTCCCTCCCTTCCTTCCTTCCTTCCTTCCTTCCTTCCTTCCTTCCTTCCTTCCTTCCTTCCTTCCTTCCTTCCTTCCTTCCCTTTCCCTGTTCCAGGGAATCACAAAAAGTATACAGACTGTTAAACAGTGTTACACACACTCTTCCTAAATAACTCATACAAAATGTGAGTTATGGGATTTTTGAAAAAGAACAGCTTTTGCATATTCCTTTTCCAAATTATGTAATTTCAGCAAATCAAACTTTCAAACAAACAAGCTAATGGCCCAGTCTAAGCTGCCAGATAGCCAGTTCCAGTCAGAGATGCTGAAAGTCAGTAGCTCAGTCTGTTTTTACGAGGTCTGGGATATTGTCCTATCATGTCACTTGTGTGTGATTGTTTATTGTAGGTAGTGCGGAAGAGGAATTCCAAATAGACTGTGAGTCAAAAGAAAGTCTAGGGCACCAGACAGAGGCCTGGAGAAGGGAAGGAGTTGCAGAATGCTTCCTACTGGGCTTTCCAACTGAGCCAACCCTTGAAGTCAGGAGGCTGTGGAAGGAAGGACATGGTGTAGTTCTAACCTGTTTCACTCAATCTTGCTGCTTCAAGTAGAGTGGAGTCCTAGCATTCTTTCCTATTCTGTCCATATTTTCAGAAGCTAGTTTGGTTATTCACAACTCCTTCTAATGAGCTTCTAATTTTTTAATAGTTACTTTTATTGAGTAAAATGTAGGCTTTTCACATTATTATTCATTCTTTAGCAAAGCCTGGTAAGCATGATTGATAATTATTGGGAATTTGGATTTGGATTTGAACAGAAATCCCAGCATAGTACTTAGAACATAGTAGTCACTCAATAATTTTTTTTAAAAGTGTAGATTGGATCCTTTCCTTTCTAAACTGTTAATTCCATGAGAATAAGAACATTGTGTTGTTGTTCCTCAAGAAGTCCCCAATATGTAGAGTAGCACTTGGTATATAGTATGTGTTCACTAAACACTTGCTGAATGAATGAGTGTTCAACATTTAATCTAGCTCATTACCTATCAACACAAAGCTAGCATGGCAATATTAGACTTGGAATCAGGAGCTGTGTGATTTAATCATGTTATCAAGCAATTATATGGCATTGAGTGAGTCATTTTGTATTTGGAGTCAATGTTTCTTCTCTTGTAAAATAAAGGAGCTAGGTTAGATGCATGGTTTCAGTTTAACAAGTCTATAGTTTAATTATTACCTAAGACCAACTACATTGCTGTTGACAGATTGGTTGTCTAAACATCATCTCACATGATTTTCATAACTATCCTGCATTATCTACATTGTATTGATGTTATGGAGTATTATCTCAAGCTTATAGATATGGAAGATGAGGTTCAGAGACAGTATGTAATTCAGGCCACATGGCAAGTAAGTGGATTAAAACTTGGGTCCTTTGACTCAAAATCCAGAGCTCACTCCTCTTTGTAGCACTGCCTCTTGAAACTTCAGAGTTAGGATACTTTTGGCTGCAAGTAAGACAGCCGGGCTGAAGTGGCTTAAATTACCAGGACACTTATTATCTTACTGGAGGAGAAGTCCAAAGGTATGAAGCTTCAGGGTTGTTCAGCAGCTCTGTGTGGAAGCAGGCACTGTCTGGCTTTCTGTTCTGCTGTCCTGCATGCCGGCTATGTAACTATAGTCATCATGACTGTAAGGTGGCTGCAGTAATTCTGGATGCCAGTAAGGCACTACCACATCCACCATATTAACGGGGGCATTTCCTCATCCATTTGTTTAAGTCATGGAAGAACACTTTTTCTAGAGTCCCCATGAGTCTTATCTTCGGATCCCGTTGGCCAGGATTGTGTCATATTCCCATGGCCTTGGGACAAAAAAAAGTCTAGGAACAGGCACATCTGGTTGTCTTCACTTTTTACTCTCTATAGTAGGCAGCGGGCTTTGCCAGTATGGAAGGAAGGAGGCTTGTGTATGAGTGTGTGTGTGTGTGTGTGGTGGAGGGCAGGGACTGGCTTTTTGACTAAGCAACCAATAGTGTCTTTCAGAATAGGTCAAATTGAATTACAATGATTGTTATAATAAAATTATCAGAAGGGTTTAATAAGATGTTATCTTAATCCTGGCTTATTTTAGGCAAATTTTATCATCTTTGTATGATGAAATTTCAGAACAAGAAAAATTATTGGATAATCCTTTGTAGTTTGTGTTATTAAAATATGAGTTCAGTCCCATGAACTGGCGGGCTCTGGGCAGCCACAGCTGTCTTGTGCAGAGCGGGTATCTCCAGTCTTGCTGAAGTGCCAGTACGGCGAAGTGGTGGAGACCTTGTGTTCTGGAGTGCTACTTGCTTGGGTTCGAACCCAGCCACCTGTGCAGTTGACTAGCCAGGTGACTTTGGGCACGTCACTGTATCTCTTTGGGCCTCAGTTTCCTCATCTGTAAAGTGGAGATCATAATGGCATAGACCTCATGGGCTTCTTCTAAGGACTCCATGTAGAATATATGTCAAATACTTGGCTTAGTGCCTGCCCAGAATAAGGGCAGAAAAAAATATTGATAGTTATCTTGATATTGTGTTCGGGTATATTAGAAGTAATACCAAGTACTGGAAAGGATTTGGCTTAGAATCCAATGTCTTTAAGCCCAAACTCCATCACTTTGTGATTGTTTAAGATTTTAAGCAAATCACTGAGTCTCCTGTTTTTCATCTGTAAAATGGACATAATAATTCCTCAATTGCCATCTTCTCTTGGATTGTTGAGATAATATATATAAAAGCATGGTGTAATTGTTAAAATATACCAAAATGTAGAATACTATTTTATCAATTTATTATTTTTTAAAACATAGTGGTAGCGTACTGCTCCCCAGATTTCTTAATTGTTGGCACAGGAATTGGATGGTCACATGAAAACA